GAGAAAGAGTTTGTCCATGGCCTATACCCTGGTGCAGGGTGAGAAAGAGTTTGTCCATGGCCTATACCCTGGTGCAGGGTGAGAAAGAGTTTGTCCATGGCCTATACCCTGGTGCAGGGTGAGAAAGTGTTTGTCCATGGCCTATACCCTGGTGCAGGGTGAGAAAGTGTTTATCCGTGGCCTATACCCTGGTGCAGGGTGAGAAAGTGTTTGTGGCCTATACCCTGGTGCAGGGTGAGAAAGTATTTGTCCATGGCCTATACCCTGGTGCAGGGTGAGAAAGTGTTTGTCCGTGGCCTATACCCTGGTGCAGGGTGAGAAAGGCAGTGATGATAAACAACTCCAAAAGCAAGACAAATGAACAAGCCTTAACTTTAAGATGATACCAATAACTCCGTATTACGACAAAAAACTGATGGGTGCCTCATTCCAACTGTTAAACTCTTGTGCATAATTGAGAAATAAATGGACAACACAGAGAGGTCAAGATAGACGGGTTTAACACTTTGCAGTCACTCAGCCAGCACTACTAAATACCCCATCTGCAACGGACCTCTGGGGCCTGGCGCACGCCAGGTGACCGGAACGGATAATTTTCACCCGCGCATTATTGCGCTAAGTGACTGCAAAGTGTTAATGAACTTTTAAATAATGAGTTGAGCAGTGTTGTACAACTCTTCAGTCAGGGTTTTTAGACAGCTGAACATTCGTAATGATCTGTCTTCGCATTACAATGAATTACAGGTCATAAATTAATTACAACTGCATGTATGTAACACCAGTGTGTCATGACACGTAATATAATTGTTGTCTCCACAGACTGTTTCTTCAAACAGAGTGAGTTGAACTTTGCCCTCCAGGACTACCACCAGGCATTGGAGCTGGACGGCCTTGACCCAGGGATCAAAGCTCGCATTTCCGTGATTCACAATGAGTTTGGTGTTGGCTTGTACCAGGATAAAAATTATTCGGTAACTTTTTTATTTTTTTCACACGTGTTTGGGGAAGTGAAGGGAAGTAGAAAGAGGGGAGCGTTGCTTGGAGAACTGAGGCAGATGTAAGGAAGTTTTTAATTGTTGTCATATTTGTTAATTTGGGTGTTGAGGCCAGTGTGGTCTCTTGATAACAGAGAGATTCTTGAGTTTGGAGGCGAAAGTGTGCTTATGAGAGTTGATAAATCTTTAGTATGTAGGCCAGTGTATCTTTATGATAGT